AAATATTTTTTTACCAGAAGGCAAAGAAAACTGAGCCCGAAAAGGTATCTAATAATAATATTTCTAAAATATTAAATTCTTTATTAATCTAATTAACTTTTCAGCTGGTCCAGGAAGAGAAGGGGGATGGGGTAATAATAATATAAATAATAAAAGACCTAAATATAAAACTTGTAATTAATCTTAATAATTTATTTACCAGGAGTCGGAGCAAACCAAAAATCCCGAAAATGTAATAATAATACCTTTAAAATATTAAATTTTATTATTAATTTAATTAATATTTCAGAAAAACGGCGAAAGTTCAACCAGAACTGAAGGGGTAATAAAATTTATTATTAATACTAAAATAATTAAATATCAGAAAATTATTCATCTTTTTTTTAACAGAAACCGGAGCAAACTGAGCCAGGAAAGGTAATATTAATGTTAATAAAATATTGAATTATTAAAAACATAAATCATTTTTACAGGCTGCCCAAGATATTATTAATGTGAGTGTAACTGAAACTATTTTAATTTTTATTGGCAAAGAAATGGAAATGTTTACTTGTAATTCTTTCTTTCAAAAATTATCATGTTTTGTACAAATGTAATGTAAATGCATTAATTATGAAAAAGCTGCATTAAAATAAAAGTTTTTAAAAAATGACTCTTATTGCTCAATAAATTATTTAAAATTTCTTTGATTGAAAAATGGTTGTTTTTATTTTTATTTTTTAATCTTTTAACTTGTTGTAATTTGCATTTAATTTTTTTCCGTAATTTTATTATTTTACAGGACATTTCTTTGTTATTTTTTCTCAAACAAGTTTTTTCTGGTGATGGCATATTTAAATATCGGTCACTAAGTACAGAGTTTGGTCTTTCTGGGCTATCTAAATTATCTACAAAATTTTCATTCTCAATATTTTGCCTGTTAATCTCATAGGTTTTTACATTTGTTTCCCTTAAGACACTAAAATTTTCTTCAGTATCTGCAAATTTAAAAAATATTAAATTAAAAAAAAATTAAAACCAATCATGTTATCAAGTTATAGTCAAGAGTAGATATGCAAATTTTAAAAAATTTAAATTTGTCTGTGGTATATTTTTTGTTTGACAGGTAAAAATTTTACACGTATTATTATTTTTTAATATTAAATCATTGAGTATCTTAGGGGCCGTCCATAAATGATGTCACACGTTTTTTTGATATTTTTAAAATATTATGCACTCTTACAATTATCCAATTAAAACTAGCGATTTAATTTAAATATTTAATAATTGCATAACTAAAAAAAAAGGTTTTTACAATTTTTTTTATATATTTTACTGTTTTGTTGCAATAAACGTTCAATTTTTAATATAACCTTTGACGTATACATTTATGTTCCCTTAATTAATATATCCTTAAAGGTTGCCATGAAACTTAGATCTATTAAAAATTTATTTGACGTTTGAATTGTCATTTTCAGTATACGTATTCTATAATTTTTGTTTAGTTTTTTAAAGTGTTTTTTATAAACAAAAATGAAAAATTGTAGTAAAAGTTACAAAGAAATTCATGAAGGACCGGTTTATTCATCTTTAGTAAAGTTTATCGGGCCTAATCTTTAATCTGATTTAAAAAGTTATGGTAATATTTAAATAAAATCGCAAGTTTTAATTGGAGAATTGAAAGTGTGCATACCTACATATTTTTAATAAACATACAATTAAAACAAAATTAACCGTCAAATTTTTTTTATTTTGCTCTTAAAATTTATGTTATGACCTAATTAACAAGAATATAAAAAAAATTAGGTTTCACAGAAAGTCCAAAAATCACCTCTCAGAACAGCACCATGCATCTGTCACCTGTAATCTCTCACCTGCCATTTATCATCTGTCACCTGTCATTTGTCATCTGCCACCTGTCATATATCACCTACCATATGTCATCTGTTAACTTGACATCTGTCACTTGACATATGTCACCTGTTCACTTGACATCTGTCAAAGTGTTGTTGGATACTTTGTTGGGTTCCCCTGTATACGACGACCCCTTCCTCCTCCCTAAGTGTGTGACATCATTTATGAACGGCCCTTATTACGTTAGATAATTATGATTTTTCTAAACTAATCGATTTTTTTAGAATTGTTTGTAAATAAAATAAGATTAAACAAATCCCTAATTTTTGTTATCAAAATATCCAATGATGAATTTCAAGAAATCTTATACTTTTTTATGCAAATTTTATTTAAAAAAAGGTAGTTTTTTTGGAATATATTAAATAATAAATAAATTTAAATTTTTCTACTTAAAAATTAACTAACTATTTAAAAGTATTAAATTAAAAGACAAATTTTAAAAACACTAACATTTTGCCGATTTTTTTTTCTCATATATACATATATATATATATTATTCTTTACAAAAATTAAATTATTTTTTAATATTTCTCAAGCAGCTCCAAAATTGTAATATATATATACCCCAGAGTTTTCAAATTTTTGTCATTTTCAACAACATAATGACCATTTAATTAACAACACGTAAGTGCCTTATTTTCAAATTCTATGACTACTATTTAGCAATAACTTTTTTATTTTTAATGCAACGCCCTGTACCTTTTCATTGATATAACCATTTCCTATACCATACCTAAAGTTAATAATAACAAAGATATTGTACAATTCCTATTATGTATTAAATATTTCAAATTTTTAAATATTACTTTTTAAATTAATAAACAATCGCTTCTGTTAAAACCGGAAGAGGAATTTTGTTCAAAATAATTTTAAAAAATTATTAATATTCTTTTAAAACCCCGGGGGTTTAAATTTTAAACCCCCTTTTTAAATTAATAACCCCCCGTGCGCACGGGTGTGTCTATTTCAAAACTAAAACAAAATTTGGTTGCCGATTAGTATGTAGCATTTTTTTAAATTAAATCACCAAAAACAAAATATTAAGCAACACATTTGAATAGTTTGAAATATAAACATCAAAAACATTAAGCAAATACCGTTAAGTGAATGCCTATTGCAAGATTTTTGAAAATAACAATGTCATTTTAAGATAAACAAAACAAATCAAATTATATTGTTTTTTTTGTAGTTTTATCTTTATTTTCACTTAAAAATTAATAAATATATTTTCACGCACCTGTAATGATTTATTTACATAAAGAATATAAAATTAATTGTTTAATGCGTTTAAAGAATTAATTATTAAAAAAGGCTTGTAAGAATGTCCTTCGGCAAAAAATGTTTTTCACAAATACATTTAAATTTTAGATCATTATAATCTAAATCCAATAAAAGTTGATTTCCGGAATTTTTCTTCCAAATTTCACACCGTTCGGTGTCTTTTATTGGAAATTGGAACAATACAAAGCTGGTTTTGCCTTTTTTTTAAAAACATTTGTTATATAAACAAGTATTTGTAGGTAAATTATTCATTTTCGCTAACGAATTAAGTACAACAACCTACTTCAGCAATTGCTTTGTGCAAACTGAATTAAATTTAATCTAGTCGACCTTCACGATGCATGCGACCGGCGGCCGCCGCGCATTGCATAGAAAGTGGGGATGCTGATGACGACGCGTTTCTTACTGTCTCACTCTAACGGTCTCACTCTAATTTAGAATTTAAATCTCAAGATAAGATCGACGGTGGCGCCTCTAACAACGAGGATCGATTTTGGAGTTATTTTAAATACATTAGACCACGCCTCTTCCCCACTTCTTTACTCAATGGTGGAAGTATGTGATAAATATTTGTACAGAGCGACATCTATAAAAAAAATAGAGTAACTCGCGTAACAATTTTTAACTTGGGAATCTGTATTACCGGCACACAAGTCAAAATGTCAAATTTGTAAATCAAAATTTATGTCGAAAATGGACTAACAACCGTTTAAATGAAGATATACAAGCAGTTTTTTACAGTGAAAGTGAAGAGAATATTTTATGGGCACGTCACGGTGGAGCTTTCACCTGAAATTTTTAATGCTTTCAGTTAAATCTTGATTACTGCCGGCAAAATCAGTACAAACTTGCAAATAAACTTTTCAATAGGCATTGACGTTAAAAACTATTTTATACTTTTTATTTTTGTATTAAGATAAATAATTTCAACATTATTTTTTCACAAGAACGGAACTTCAGTTTAACAATTGTATGACAAGTGTCGGCTAACTTAAAACTAACTTCAGTCCGTGACTAAAAACCTGTTGCTAACTGCAGCTCGTGACTTAAGCGCCATGGCTTGCCGTACGGTTGGTAACCCTGATCCCGACCGTCTCTGACGTCAGCCGGGATTGGTACGGATTCCAGAGCCGGAGAATAGTCACAGCGTTATTTCTTTGGCACACTTGGGCTACTATTTCTTTAGACATTTCCTTAACAAATCTTAAGGTATTTTACCGCAAAGCCTAATAAAAAAATTAAGGAATCAATTTTCCTTTGAAATTCAAAAAAATTGTGTATATGTGTAGGTCCCTTAAGGGACTTCAATTGGAGATATGGCATCCTCAAATATAAACAAAATTAAACAACTTGTATTTTTTGCTGTCCGCTTGCGTAAAATTTAGGCATATGTATTTTATTTTATTTTTAAATAATGCTCCATTTTTTTCAACATATGTTTCTTTTTAAAAATTGACAACACTAAATATTTTTATATAAAAAACCGGTTGAAACCGATAAAAGTAAATCCTACGGGCTGACAAATCACAATTATCTATGTTATGTTATGAAATTTATGTGTTATTAGTAATACAGTATTGCTGCGAATTAAAAATTAAATTGAAAAACACGAAATGGGTAATATATTTTTTGAACAAAGAAAGACAATGCAACAATATTTAAATCGACGAGGTAGCATCACAATAAAAAATGTACAGGGTAGATACAGGGTGTTGAAATTTAAAAGAAATCGTTTTATGAGGTTTTTGCGATCTCATTTCTGTTGTTTTTTCGTATTACTAGGTTAATTTACCACCCTCTTTACTAATATTATTACCTAATTGCAGGTGTTGCTATAACAGAAAAAAACAATGTAAAAAAAAGTAAGGTGAGGATGGTGCCACCTGATGGTGGATGGGGCTGGTTAGTGTTATTCGGATCAACTTTAGTAAACGTTTTAGTACCTGGTACAATTAAGTCTTTTGGAGTATTATTTTTGGAGTTTTTGGAGGCTTTTAACGCTACCACAGCAGATGGTATGTGGATACCTGCTCTTTGCTACTTCCTGTATAGTTCTTTGGGTTAGTATTTGTTACTTTGTTTTATGTTTTAATGAAGTGATGCATTTGTTTTAGGCCCTGTGTCCAGTATCCTGTCGTTACGGTATTCCTATAGAACCGTGACGATAGTCGGGGGATCGTTTGCCGCTTTTGGCATGATAATGAGTTTTTTCGCGCAATCAATCGAATATTTGTACGTATCGTTCGGCGTCATGGTCGGCATAGGGGCGGGCCTATCATTTCCTCCTACCGTTTACATAGTTACAAGTTATTTCGTACGTCTTCGAGGCATTGCCAATGGTATATGCATATCGGGTTCGGCATTGGGATCAATTATTTTGCCGCCGTTGCTGCGAATTATTTTAAATGAATACGGGTACAGAGGAGCGGTTCTTTTGATGGGAGGCCTCACTCTCAACGTGTGGGTGGCTGCGCTTTTTTACGATCCCGTCGAAAATCATCTGAAGCCTGCTACTGACGATGAAGACGAGGAGCAGCACGAAAAACCCGAGTTGGACGAGAGCGAAATCGTGCCCGCGAAGTTTACCATCAGCACGGAAGACAGTTTGGTGTCCTTGCACCACATACCGCACAACGACTCCTTCATCAGCAGCAACCTGGCAGATGGGACGTTGACGGGCACCGGAAACACCTTCAATAGAAGCGTGTCGAGCGCAGCCTTTCAAAACATCAAGTCCCAAATGCAAAACCAGCACCGCGAACGAAAAATCAGCATGCCGACCGGCAGAAACGAAGTGATGCGTGCCAAACACGGCGCCGTCGGCTCGCACAGCATCATCAACAGTTCTTCCACGTTACACGCCGTGCCGGAAAAATCGTCCAATGGAGTCGGCGCTGGCGGCGCGATGGATATGTTTTCGCACAGCCGGCTACCCAACTCGCGGCAAAGACGGGGACTGCCGAAGCGCAGCCCGTCCACCAGCTCCTTTCAATACATCAGCACCCCGTACCACGGTAGCACGCTCACCCTGCAGCCGGAAACGTTCGCCAGCTCGTTCAGCTTAAGGTCGATTCGCACGAACAAAACCGCCGAAGCGGAGGACGACCAATCGGCCGTGCACGGCCAAAAGAAGAAGTTCTTCGACATCTCCGTACTATCCGACCCAGTCTATCTCATCATATTGATTTCCAACGCCACCAACGCGATTGGATACACGAACTTCATCATCCTGTTGCCGTACTACGCCAACTACTTAAACTACAGCAAGGACATGGGGGCGTATTTGCTCTCAATTGTGTCTGCGCTCGATCTCGTCGGCCGAATAGGCGGCTCGGCTCTGTCGGACATCACGAAGTTCCCCAAGTGCTGGTACTTCTTCGGCGGGCTTTTTGTTTCCGGCGTGTCGCTGTTTATAATGCCGTTCTTCCACGAGTATCGCTACATAGCGGTGGTTTGCGGCGTCTTCGGATTGGCGTCGGGGATTTACGTGGGCATTACGGCCGTCATTATGGCCGACATGCTTGGCGAGGAGAAGTTGCAATCTACGTACGGAATCTCGCTGTTCGTGAACGGCGTTCTTCAGTTTGTCGGTCCGCCGATTTGCGGGAAATGGTACGACGCCACCAAGTCATTTGTCTCTTTATTTTGCAGCTTGGGTGCGACCATCATCGCTGGGTCTCTCATATGGTCTTTTATGCCTTTGTTTATAAATAAAAAATCAAAATCTCAGCGGGATAATGAGAATCAACGTGACGAGGATGATGAAGAAGAAGATATAGATAACAATTAACCATAGTTTTATTTCCATTTATTATTTCCTATTTAAATTTTAGTTAGTTAGGTAAACATTTTAAACAATGTTGGTTGTTAATTAATCAAGCCAGACAAACATTACCTTATTATTATGCCATTGACTTAAATTTAGTTAGTATAATAAAATAAGAATATTTGTGCTTTTAAGAACCGACATTGTAAAACCAGAGGTGCTTTAAATTTGCCATTTGTATGTGTGTAGTGTGTATGGATGAAAAATGTCATAGAATAAGAGGCCACACTTTTGATAAAATATTTATTCATTTTAATTATGTTAAAACCAACTTTCCATCATATCAAAGAAAGGTGCTTTCAAGTATTTGTATTTTTATATTGTACTTTATTATTATAAATATTATACCCATACTTATACTTAATATACATTGTGATATATATAAGGCCATTAATAAAGAAATAATTGTAACAGTTTCATAATAAATATGCCTTAAAGAGTTAGTAATTTTTAATTTCGTTAGTTGAGATCAACTTTATTCACAATTATTCTTACCTACCCATTTATTTTTTTACATTAAGTTGGTTTCCATGTTACCACTTGCAATTTCCTGTTTAGTTCGTCCAAAATAAGTGAGCATTGATACTGTTTTTCAGCCGAAAGACTAGTAATAACTTCATCATCCTCCTCTTCTTCCTTTTTAATCTTTCTCCGTTTTGCTTTACCATCCTTTTTTAAATCCTCATCTATTTCACATTCACTGTGCCGCGTCTTTGACTTTAATAAACACAATTAATATTTAAACAAAATCGGGACAATCTTACATACCTTTCTGACTTGTTTATCAAATTCCAGAGCATCGTAATAATTGGGCTTCTCTCTGCGAACTCTCTGAGTTCGTCTTCTACTTTCTACTGTTGGACTTAGTACTTTTGTGGCGCCTCTTTTGGCATTGAAAAACGAATAACCACAAGGACAAGCCTTGCAAGCAACTGGAACCTGTGAAAAAAAGTTAAAAAAAAATACAAACTTTTGTCATTTTTACCTGTTGTTCACATTTAGGGCAACCTTTTGCTATCATTTTTCATATTAACATGAAACAACAATAAAACACGTTTTATCTTTTATTTTAATCACTTCTCTAAATAAATGAACCTAACCTTTGTTATAACGTAATATTTATATTGTTGGCAACACTGAGATTTTTAATTAAAAAAAATGCCAACTATTTAGAATTAAATTTCCCTATTGTTAAAAAATATAAACATTTAACAATAATTAATAAATAATTGTGAATGAACGGTTTAAGTTTTAAATATATAAATGTCGACAGTGTTGTGTAGAAGATCAAATATTATTTGTAAACTATAACCTAACCTCACAGAAACAATGTTTTAAATTGCGTTTGAAGAAAATTAATAATTGTTTATAAATAAGAATGGCAGACGCAGAAAGAAATGCTTCTTTACTAAGAAAAAATGATAAACAAAAAACTATACAGAAAACAGTTCGAAGGGGAAGGAGTTCAAGTGGTAATAGTGGTACTGATTATTGCAAAAGTAAATAAATCACAAATATACAAGCATACCATGTAATAACACATTTTAATAACTTTAAGGTGATAAAATGAATGCTGTAGTTGTTGATAGTGGAGCATTTACCATAAAGGCTGGCCATTCAAGTAGAGATAATCCAACGTAATTATAAATTGAAATTGTAAGAAAACATACACAACCCTAATATAATTTTTTAGCATAATTCCAAATTGCATAATGAAAGCCAAGTCAGAAAGAAAAAGGTTATTCATTGGCAATCAAATAAGTGAATGCAGAGACTGTTCAGGTTTATATTATTTATTACCATGCGAAAGAGGTTACATAACAAAATGGGATGTACAAAAACCTGTATGGGATTATACGTTTAGCAAAAATGTTTGCCCTATTAATGATTATCCTGTCATTTTGACTCAACCATTGTTTAATTTTAAATTGATACAGGACTGCATGGATGAAATATTTTTCGAGGAATATGAAGCTTCATCTATGCTTAGATTGAATCCCACTGACATGGCTAGGCTTAAGTACAACGAGGACCACAATTTAACTGATGGTAAGTTTATATACAGGATGTCCCAAAATCACTTGACCAAACAAAAATCTAAAACAAAATTTCCTTTTCCATTATTTTGAATTTGCAAAATTTCAAGTGTTATTTTATTTTTAAGGCCGCCATTGAAAGCGCATTGTTTCTACTCTATAGGGCGAGCCCCGTTTGCGACAACACGCACCAAATTTGTTTTTGCTTACTTTTTCCCAATGATAAAATATCAAAACACAAAAATATTTTAAAAAAAAGTCGTTTGATAGAGCACACTGTGCTCTCAGTGGTGGCTTTAAACATGAAATAACTCCTGCAATTTTGCTAAATCGAAAAAAATGGTAAAAGAAATTTCGCCTTAGATTTTCGCTGTATATATATATATATATATATATATTTATTTATTTTTCTAACCAGTAAAGAAATAATTTTATTTTAGATACACCAGTATTAATCATAGATACAGGGTTCAGTTTCACCCATGTGATACCTTACATAAAAGGTAATAAATATTTAAAGGGCATCAAAAGACTGAATGTGGGTGGAAAAGTAAGTTGTTAATGACTGTAATTACATAGTAATAATATTGTTGTTGAAGCTTTTAACCAATCACCTCAAGGATATTATATCATACAGGCAGTATAATGTCATGGAAGAAACTTACGTAATAAATCAAGTAAAGGAAGATACATGTTATGTTGCTGAGGATGTTAAAGCCGAATTAAAACTGGCGGAAAAATACGGCAAAAAAAACAACATCGTCAAAAATTACGTGTTGCCGGATTTCAACAATATAAGACGAGGTTACATACAAGATCCAGATAAAGTTGATGAAGGTGCAGAAAATTGCCAAATATTAAGGCTAAACAATGAAAGATTTTTGGTGCCTGAAATCCTATTTCATCCATCCGATATAGGCATGAAAAGTATGGGTATTGCAGAGGCAATAGTCAAATCGATTTTTCTTTGCCCACTGGAATACCAGAGAGCTTTAGCAAGACATATATTAATTATTGGGGGTAATTGCAAATTTCCAGGCTTTAAAGAGAGATTGTTTAAAGAACTAAGATCATTACTACCACATCTTTGGCATGTAAACATATATCAACCTGAAGAGTAAGTTAAATGTATTTTTATTTTACTTTACTTACATATTTTATTTTCAGTCCAATATTGTATACATGGCAGAGTGGCTCTGCATTGCTTTCTTATCCAAATATTAAGTCACTTTTGGTGAGCAAAAAAGAATATGATGAGCTGGGTTCTGCTCTAATTCAACAGAGATTTAACCATTGGTAAGAAAACTAAAAAAAATGTTTTATTTCATATCTAAATGCTGTCCCGAGTTCGATCCCGACTGACGTCACAATTTTTTTTATTACATTTTGAAATAATACGAAAATATGGTAAAATAATTATAATTAAATGAGTATTCCTTTATTAAAAAGTGTTAGTTTAATTGGCTCGTTTTAGTTTTAGTTTATCGAAACAATTTCATAAAATCGTCAAATTATGGCGCCGGCCCTGGCTTAAGGCAATTGAGCGCCTTAGGCACTTACTAATTACTAAATACTATATTCTAAAATTTCAGAAAAGTTTTTTAAAGCCACTGCAATCTGTTAGCTTGAAAAGAAAAGCGACTTTGCTTTCGGCACGCGCTTAAAAAGCGGCACGCTTTTGTCTTTTGCCGGCTTTGTACCGCGTTATTACAAAGAAGCCGCATTTTTATAAAATAATAAAAACAGTAAAGAATATTTGCTACCATACCGTACTCATAATTGTATATTGTTTATTTATTTTTGGTAAAAATAAACCTTTTGGTAACAATTTTTATTTTTTTAAGTTGGTTGGGGCAGGGCGCCTATTTCTTCGTGGTTCCTAAGGCAATTGTCATGCCTGCCTAATGGGTAATCAGTACAGCATACAGTCTATAGACAGCGTTAAAATCATCTTAAAAGCAAAAACTATTTATTATTTTATATAGAAACCAACTTTCAAATAGGCATTTTTAAAACTAACTTTTTCCAGTAACTTTATAATTAAATAAACAACAAAAAATATAAACTTATTGGACAATAATTTTACAATAAAAATATAAATGGACAATTAGAAGACTTGTTAAAATCCTAAATTTTATTTGCAGGAACAATTCAATTGTAGTGGAAAATGAAGAAGGCAAGACACCTTCGCAACCATCGCCTTTGGAAGAATTTAGTTTAATGAACAATTTAAAAGGAAAATCAGTATTTGGCAAACATGATATAGGAACAAGCAGCAGTGAAACTACCACAATGACACCCACACCAACATCATCTAGAATTCTTATTAACTTAAGCGAAATTCTTCAGGAAGCAGCTTCTGAGCCAGGCAAGGAGGTTGTAGGTGCTCCCGGAACACAGAGTGCAGCTGCAGCTTTTGCCGAAATTGTGGAAAAAAATGCCATTATTACAACAGCTTCAGCGGCTGCATTAGCCAGCGGCGCAGCTGTACTACCAAATGACAACGAAAATACAAATGAACAAACTGACCAAGACGGCATTACAGCCAAAAAAATTAGGCTCAGAGACAGAAGCACATCGCAAGACTTCCCCTTAGTGCCACCTCAAGAGGAAGATCCGTTCGAAAATTTGGTTCTTTTTCCATTTGGAAGAAATTCCTACATTTAGTAACTTCTTACTGTGTAATTTATTTAAATTAATTAAAAAGAATTTCCAAATATAGGTACTAGTTTATTTAATAGTAAAAGTTTTATAAAAAAATATCATATATGAATGCCGCATTTCCTATAAAACCTATTTTTTATAAAAAATGGAGGATTTTAAAATCCAATTGTGACTGATTGTATACAAAATAATTATTTTGTAAGTAGATTATTTAAAAAAAATTAATTTTTCTTATCTCTCTTACATTTTTAATTTTAAACTACCCAATTAATTTTTTTTAAATAATCTACTTACAAATTCACAAAAACTACAAAATAAAGAGACACAAACGCAATTTCAGCGTTAATTGTTTTTTTTTCAAGTGTGTAACAATTTTTTTATTATAACACTCTATTTTCACGCAGTTCAAAAGTCAAATTAATACACTCCGCCGTACAATAATAAAAATACATTGAAATTACGGCCTTTTATAACAACCAATCGTATCATTTGTTGCATTGTTGATTTGTGCATCGTGATACGGTGCGAAAATATAAAAAGTTTATTCACTCAAAAAAACTTTGAACAAAAAAAACAGGGGTTGTTTTGCCCTTTTTCTGTTGGTTTTTCACTTGTGCTTGTTTTGTCTAAAATTGTGGCAATATTAATTCCTTTTTATACCGAATTGGCTCGACATTCACTGCTCCATAACTTATGAATCATAAGCCGATGGCAAATTAATTTAAACTTTTTTAATACACCCTAAATATATTTGCTTTTAAACACCTTAAAAAACAGGGTAAAACCTGATTTACTACTGCATTTAGTTAAACCTTGAGTAAAATAACTATAGTATTTATAGTATGGATAAAAAACAAAAACTCTTTAGACTTCTTGATAAAAAAGACTTCTTGATAAAAATAAAGTAAAAAGTGACGTTTCAGGGTTAAGTTGGCAGAACCGCAGAAAAACAGTGGCAGAACTGCGTATGTAAATTTTGTTTGCGAATTATGACAGCCTAGCCTTATTTGTGAAAAAATGGAAAGTGAAAATCAAAACGAAGAACCGATGACAAGGGAGGAATACATTGAAAAGTTGACAAAGTGGCTGGAAGACGCCAGATTATGGCATGGATTTTGTTCCGGATTTCCTTATTACACACAATTACAGAACCAAACCGTTGACAGCAACAACTTTAATCAGTTTAGCTGGCCAAATGTTAATAATGGACTGCATGAGAGGGTTAATCACAGGGTTAATCAGCCTGGAAACAATGCAAGAATACCTCTGCAAGAACCAGGTACAAATATCTTTAAAATTAACCTATTAACATTGTACCACACATTCTGTATCTTCTCTTCTAAAGTACTTTTTATAACGAATAATGCTCCTAGAGCCCCTCAATGAAAATACCGTTTATTTAAAACCCATTTTATTTCTTAACTATGACCAGTGGTCAAAATTTTAGTTTACTAAAAGCATTTCACCCACGGTCTGATGTTAGTTCCCTGTTAAAAATCACCCATAGAGACCAATAGAAAAGCTATTGGGATTTTCCAGCGGCAGCTCTATTGGTTTGAATTGGTCTCAATAGTGGTATCTGTACCATGAATTACCAATTCAAACCAATAGCGACACCGCTGGAAAATCCCAATACAGACCGATAGAGACTAATAGTATTTTATTGGTAATTCCCAATAGATATATTTTATTGGTAATTCCCAATAGAACTATTTGGATTTTCCAGAGGTACCGCTATTGGTTTGAATTGGTCCCCACTATCCATTTTAGACGTCTTTAAGGTAAAAAATTACGTGTTTTGATGGTTAAATAATTTCTCAAAAATAGTGCTGTTTAACATTTAATTTAAATTTTATAAATAGCTTCTGTTAAAAGTAAGTAGTGAGGCCCACTGCTTACTTTTCGCAGAGTGGGCCACAGGACGATCTGTGCCCCTTTAAAAATTCCAAAACGCCAAGCGTTTCCATGGCCAGTAATTTTGCCTTAGTAAGGAATCCTTACTTAGCAGCTCAAGGCATTCCACCTTTATAGGCCTATGTATTGTGCTACAGAGGCGAGAGGTATGCATGGGTTGCCTACCTATTGGCGAATTTTGAAAATAAATATTAAAGTGGTAAATACCAATAGGGTTCCTTGTACCTACACACCGATAAAATACCAATTCAGACCATTAGTTTATCTATTGGTATTTTCCAGTAAGAAAATTGACAATAGAAACAAGTGGTCATTTGTATTAAATTACGCAGGCGCTGAACATTTAAGTGGTATTTACCAATTGAATTTCTATTGGGAATTTCCTGTACTTGTAACTTCTTATAAAAACCAATTCAGACCATTAGGTAATCTATTGGCATTTTCCAGTACGGAAATTACCAATAGAAACCAATGCTCATTCTGTTGAGAAACCAATAGGCCCAATAAAGACCAATTCATTCCATTCTGATTTTTTATTGGTTTCTATTGGTCTATATGGGTGATTTTTAACAGGGTTTTAAGTTAAAATTTTAAAAAAGTAAGGGTAAAGAATGCCATGCTTTTTATAAAAAGCATAAAAATAATACTATACTAATATTATTTCTATGATAAAAAGTAAATTTGCTACCACCACATGTCATATTATAAATAATAAATTATGTACTAGTATTTAGCAATGGTTTGACTGAATATGTGATTCCCCCTCTATGGAAGAGATTAGTGGCTGAATTCTTGGATTTTATGATACTGCTTATAATTAAATTAACTTTATCTTTGATCGTTTTGGAGACATTTAATGTTATGTGAGTTATTATGTGTGGCATTTACATGATGAGATAATTTCAAATTTGTTTGTAGGAGTTTGAAATATTATGGGATAGATACATTCCAAAAAAACTTGAAGAACCCTGAAATAGCAATGCAAATATATGTGGAATTGTTTATGTTGGAGGTTTTTCATAAAATGATTGTATGTTTATATGAGGCCTATTTTTTAAAAGGCGGTATGTGCTCAACTCCAGGTAAAAGGTATATGGGCTTAATTGTAATATATGTTGAAAACATTAATGTTGCCAATGGTCATGTGGATGATAAGGTGGTAACAGTGTCAACAAGCAGTCCACTGGGTATAAAAAAGTCCCTTATTCGGTCTGTGCTTAAAAATTTATTTATTGGCCTTCTGGTGCCTGTTTGTTCCCTATACATATTCCGCTTTAACCGGATAGGTTACGATATGATGGCTAATTCTTTGGTTGTCGAGTACAATCCAAATCCAAATCGACAAAACTAGATGTATTTCATTATTGCCAAATATGTATGTGATATTAAATGTTGCATCTTATATAGGGACCAACAAATGGATTATTTACTTTACTGGGATGTACATATGTGGTAATTTTATATAAGATGATGTATTGTTATAAATTATTGTTTGAATAAAAATATTTTAATAATTAAGGAATTTCATTAAAGGGTACAAATAAAAGGTTTGCTTTTTTCACAATTTATTTTATACAAATTTAAATTTTGTGTATACCCTATTTATACTGTCTGTGAAATTATTGTAATTTGTGAAAATTAATTTTAAATATAGCTGCACAAAAAAATGACTGGTATATTTATAATACATGTAAAATACCAAAATTGCTAATTACTAACATAATAAAAAATTATGAAAACCAAACAAATTCTATACTAGTTTTACTATTGTAAACCACATATATATGAAACTCATATACAGGGAAAATTAAATAGCACAAACTAGAAATGAAACACCCTGTATATCTCTTTAAAAACAAGTAATAATGATTGGTTACAATTAAATAGAATAGAATACATAGTATAGATAACAATTCAAGACCCAATTTAAACTGTAATGTACACAAGATAAGAATATAAAAGGCTTTTATACAGAACAGTGATTAAATACAGTTAAATAACAATTATAAATTATTTTTTGTTAATTCTATAAGAATTATTTCAAATGCAAAATTTCATTTTGCTAGATCACAGAAAGTAACCATTTGCTTAATATGCCACAAACACAATAATTGTAAGTCGATTATGACGATTACAATTATTGAGTTTTTTCGATTTTTTTTGTAATTCGGTCATTCAGAAACACAATTTATAATTTAAAAACCTCTATTTATATATACAGGGTGTTAAAAAACATTGGCGGATGGTTTTTGAAACACCCTGTATATTAAGGTGGTCCTTATTTGGGATGTTTTTGAAATGTTGGGTTCTATGTAGTATAATCGCTTTTATGTTCAACAAAAATAATTCTGACAAATTTTTAATCCAAGCAAAATAAAAAAAATTGGGAGGTTATTATACCCAAATTTAAACAAAATTGGACAACTTTGATTTGTTTCTTGTCCGCTAAAAGTTAAATATCCCATTATTAAAAACATATTTGGTGGCATAATATTAAGAATTAAAAATTTGTCAAAATATTTTTGAAGGCAAAGTTTCAAAAACACCCCAATAAAGGACCACCCTAATATATATATACATATATGTCACAGTCAAAGTGTACATTTTAGTAGATGTGTATAATAACTGGCTACTGTATATGTTACTCTCAATACCCGAGCGCGCGGAATTGTGCTCAGGCATTGATAAAAACCGAATAATTGGCAAATATGAAATATTGTATAAAGTAAGGCTCATTAGCCGTATAAAAATAAAATTTGGGTTTTCTTTGCACATTGACTGTAACAAATAAATATATATATATATATATATATATATATATATATTAGGGTGTTTCATTTTTAGGCGATATTTTTTTTCTTTCTGTCCTACCTAAAAATCTGATAATTTATTTATAAAAAAATATATTTTCGTTGGAAAAAAAATTCTAAGTAAATTAGAGGCTTCACTCTTTCAAAAATTCGATTTCCCATATAAATTACACGGGAAAAAGTTTCAATTTCAATTTAAAGGAAATTTGTTGTTAATTAACATTAACATTCACCTTTCCAGCTCTACAACTTAAAAACTGTTGGTCGGAAAGCATTTGCTCAAAGGAACTTTTTTGTAGCAAATTTGATTCCCTACAAAAGCTGCATACTGATTTTTTTCAAAAAAAAAATATAAAATACCAAAAAATTGAGTTGAAGCCGAAAAAAACTTTTTCCCGTGTAATTTATATGGGAAATCGAATTTTTGAAAGAGTGAAGCCTCTAATTTACTTAGATTTTTTTTTCCAACGGAAATATATTTTTTTATATATAAATTATCAGATTTTTAGGTAGGACAAAAAGAAAAAAAATATCGCCTAAAAATGAAACACCCTAATATATATATGCACATGCTTTTTGTAAACGTTCAAAAATTCCCTGAAATTAATATATCAACCCTAATTTAGTTTTTAAGGTATAAAATACACAAATCACAAAATTAAATAAATAATATAGTCTAGTTTAAGACTATTTAAAACCCGTACTTAGAAAACTATAAATGAAATATATCACAATAGAAAACACCGATATTTACAATGTGTAAGATACTAAGAGGCTTAGTAAAAATTGAATACAAAATGGCACATCAATTTTAAGCACTAAATATATTTTATACCTTAAATTTTGGTTTTGTGCTCGTCAAAAAAATTAAATCTACCTGTAAATTGAATTTTTTTATCAAGCCCCACCAGGAATGTATAATTTTGAACACGATTTAGATTAGAATTTTCGCAACCATATACATACTAGGAATTAAAAAACATGTGAAGAATAAAATACTGAAAATTCATGAATAAATTATTATATATATATAGAAATATCACCATCATCATCGTCATCAATGGATCATTTTGTGTATTTTTAGAATTTTTCCTAATCGTTGTTTAACAGTCTTCATCCCCTTACGAGGTTTTGGAGGCGAAACTGGTGTAGCCGCTCCAGAGGTACTTGCGTTTGAAGTAGCAGTTGATGGACTTTTTATATCCGACTTTGGCTTAAGCTTTTTGCGACGATATTGGCGCTTAGGCGACTGACCCAAAACAACAACAAATATTATATAAGGTTTGTCAAATTATATAAGAGTATAACAAGGTTTTATAAAATCACCACTTAATTTACTAGTTTTATTATGGTCATAAGGTTACTGTAAACTCTAGTTATATAATTAGGTTACATTATTGTTTCTACAAACATTTTATTTAACTTATAGTAACCGTTATTGGTTTATAAAAGAGTTTTATAAAACTATTGTGTCTATAATTTTTTTAAATTAAAATTGTGAGTTAATAATTATTAATGTGCTTAATAAAACAAAAATTGGTTGAAAAAAAAAATATTTAGCATATAACCTATAAGTATTATAATATTAATAACAAATTTTTTAAAAGTGGATTAAATCGAATGTTAGAAAGATAGCGTACCTATGAAGAAATATATATTTTAAATGTGCCTGAGGGAGAAATAAATATTAAAAGAAGGAAAAAAGCCTGTAGCAGTTGTTTAGGAAGTTATATAGTGGTTTCCATAATATTCCTGTTATCTCCAGTTATAAAACTTGGGTTTTATAGTGTTACTAAAATAGGTACCAATAACCTTCATAAACTCCCCAAATAAGCTCTTTAAGGGGTATATAAGAGTGATATAAATATTTCTGTAACCAAATTAAGAAATTTAAGTTTTATAATTTTGATGGTGTAACATTTGTGGCAACCACTATAAAAACTGTTTATTGGGTTGTGCTGCGCAGTAGACGATCGAAACTGCTGCGCAGAAAAAAATCGCGTAAAATGTGGGAGAAACTTACCTTTTCGGGAGATTCGTTGGCTCTTTTGGCGGCCGCCGCCTCTAAAACCTTCTCGACCGCCTGCTTTTTCGTGCCCTCTCTCGCGGGCCGGTTCATTTTCGGCAACAGCGGCCCGACTCGCGCCTTCGGGTTCCACGGCTCGTCCACTTTCGACCTGCCTCTCGGTTTAAATATATGAACGTCTTCATCGTCCGAATTATCTAAAGACGGATAAACTGAAAAAATTTAATGCGTTCGGCTTACAAGCTATTTTTGCCCAGAGTAATCTAAGTAGAGAAGCAATCACGCAAAACAAAACCGCGCCATTTATTAGTTAATAGGGTTAATGGTGTCTTACCGTAGTCGTCATCTTGATGGACGTTTTTAATGTTTTCCTCCTCGAAAGGGGGGGAGAGGTTGCCATACTTTCTGGATCGCTGCGATTTTCCAGGTTGCACGTAGGTCGTCTGGCTTATCGAGAGCATGCCTGCTATAGCTTCCTGCGTTGAGGGCGACGTTCTGTCAGGGGCGGCGCTAAAACCGTCAAATAAATCCTTTGGGAAAACGACAAATTACATTCGTACCTTAGAGCTGACGCTTTCAACAGCGATTCGATGCCGTTTTTCGGCTCGTCGGGGTTGTCTTTGGGCTTTTTGCTTTTGACAGGCAGGCGCATCTTGATTCCGGCGGGTTTTTTGATCTTTTTGCTTGGAGGCGGCGCCGGATTTTCGTCGATCGTAAATTTAAAGCAGTCTTCGTCTCTGTCGCTCTCGTCGTGAAAATCGTAGATGCGATCCTCGGGAATCGCCGCGGGATCAGTTTGAGCGACCGCGGCCGACGGTATCAAGTCTTTCGTGCCGATTTTGAACTTCAAAACGGTGCCGCCGCGGTGTATCGCGATCGTTTCTTCGGGCCTCTCGAAATTCGGCACCCCCCAACCCAACTGGTCGCCATCTGGCCCATCGTTCAGCAGCGTATTGGTATTCTCGTATGGTATTACAGCCGGCTTCGGTAGCGTCACTTTTATACCTGGTTTTGGGTATTTTACCATGGCATCTGGGATTGGAATATACTACAAAATAAAAACGATTTATTATATTTTATTAGAGTAGGTAAGGCTAATATGGATCCTGCTTATTACATGGAACCCCTCTCTTATTACAGTAATAGCAGCAACATCTATACAGGGTGTCACCTAATAAAATGTTGTCCTTTTGGGGGGACAAACAAGAAAGTTTTTTCTCTATCATGTTTGCATTAGAGCTACTTTTTTTTAATAAAAAAAAATATGAATTTTCTTGAAAAAACCAGAGAGCCACTGGATGTCACTAACCTATCCTATATATCATCATTGTTTTTACCTCTAAAATAATAATAATATTAAAAAACAACTTTAAATCAAAAAGGCGAAGTTCAAAAACAATGATATTATTCATCCAAGCAAAAAAGAAACAAGTATGCGCACAGTGTATTATGTAATATCAATAATGTGACCAACCTTAAACTATTTTTTTTAATATTGACGTTATTTTTTTTAAGTTGTCGGGACTTAAAAATTAGTTTATAAATCTAAAACTTTGGAAGTCCACTTAGAAGAGTAAAAAAGTATGAAAAAAAAATTATTACTTTTTCTTACTTTTAGTACTACTCCCACCTTTAAAACGCCCTTTATCGTACATGTTTCCATGACACTAAGTGACCTTTTAAATACACATTGACAAGTTGTGGCTTTATGGCGCTTTAGTCACGGGCTGAAGTTAGTTTTAAGTTAGTTGACAGTTGTTAAATGTCATACAATCGTTAAAATTGCCTTTCTTGATTTATAACCTTTATAAATAATAAAAATTTGACAATTGACGGTGACACACAGATTCTCCTATTGTTTCATAGATGGCGCTCTATACAAATTTTTGATTTAAATCATTTTAAGATAATAATAAGTATTTGTCGTAGAAAAAGTATAGTATGCACCTCGTTTATAAACTTTTCTATACACTCATTAATTTAAGCACTCGCTCGCAAGCTCGCTCGTGCCTAAATTAAATTCGTGTATAAAATGGAGTTTATCAAACTTGATACATAATATACTATTTTTAATTATACGTTTTTTCCAGTTTTTTAGGATTTGTTGTAATTTTTTTTTAAAAGTGGTTGTGGCTTAGGTTAAAAATTTCTTTACAAATCTGAATTTTTGGGAGTACCTCCAGGATAGTAAAAAAGTAAGAAAAAACCTCGTTTGATTTTTTTTTTAATTTTTTAGGATTTGTTCCAATTTTTTACGTTTAAGTTCAGTCCCGAGTGACGTCATAAATTTAAGATTTGTTAAGTTACGATAAAACTAAAACAAACCAACACTTTTTAACAAAAGAACAAATTTATAAAATAAAAAAAGTTCGACAACTTCTAGTAGTATCGAACCCGGTACCTCTCGCATGCCAAGCGACCGCCCTACCATCTGAGCCATCCAGCTTAACATTAATTTTATAACGCTCGGGGAATAAAAACGGCTTTAAAGTGTGTGACGTCAGTCGGGATCGAAGTTAAGTCCCGCCTCGGGACGGGAGCCACTTCGATTTTTTTATTATCAGGTTAAAAATTAATATAAAAATGCGAAAGTTGTGATAGGAGAACAGGTGAATCAAGTTGTTCGTGCAATAATTTATAAAGGATTATCACCGAAGATAGCTAACAATAAAAACAAAGTATTGTTTTATTCAGTACCTAAAAATAGCTGAGTATACAAAACCAAAATCAATTATTATCAAAATAATCAATAATAACACAAATGTAAATTTTTAATGAATGCAGATTATTGCCCACTGTGCAAATACATTTTGCGTCAGTTGTCATAGGTCAGGAACAACCAGTGGCGGCCCAAAATTTATACTTTACTTATAAAAATTTTAATAATTTTTTTATTAAAAAAATGGGACTAATGCAAAAACTGATACGAGGAAAAACTTTCTTATTTTGGCGTGTACTATCATTTCCTTAAAGGATGACAACTTATTTGGTGACCCCTATATTTATCTAACCTTTTCCAATGATAAACAAAACGTAACCATGAATTATTTATTTAGCTGAATACTTACATCATGTGTTGAAGCCTTGGGCGACATTGAATAATCCACAAAATCTTTGTTAATAGGTTTTTTTCTTTTCCTTTTGGACTCCCTCTCAGGTTTAGGCGGGTTTAAATGGTTGATGTACCTTTCAGCATGCCTTATTTCCTTTGCGATATCTTTCAATAACTTTGCAACGTTAATGGTGAAGGGAATTTGTTCTCTAACTGCAGGATTATACTAAAATATAACGTTTTAATAAGAATATTGTAAATAAATCAATAAAATTTACGTTTGCTTTGGAACTTACATCTTTTTCTGTATTCCAGTGTTTTAAATTAATTAATAGTTGTTTCAGACCTAACAGAAGGTAAGTGGGGCATTTTCTTTCTTCAGTGTTTAATTCTACGAGTTGTTCTAATAATTTTGAGCCAGCAAACCAGTTCATCATCTCAAAATTCGGGTATAAAAATTTTTGTTCGGTTTTAATTTTCTTCTCAATATCATAAACGCTGAAAATATGTTTTAAAATAAAAATAATGATGGTGGTGATGAGATGTATACCTTAGTTGCATGGGCATGTTCAGGCTGTGCAAAAAGTTTCCTCCAAAGACCAGCGAATCTACAGGGGTGTACACAGCATGTATCCATCCAGTTGGAATCAACATTGTTTGCCCCTGTCTTAATATACACTTATAACACTTATCAACTTGATCGCCAAAAAACGTTTCACTTTGATTTGTTGAAGTCATCCATTGTTGATACAGTGTTAAATTAGCCATTGTGGGGCTGACAAAGTAAAAAATCTTCTCGCCACGTAGAATGTGATACCAAACACTTGTACCCCCAAAATCTATATGAAAATCCGTGTAAGAGCCCTTGACACTCATCAGGCAGTATTTGCCCACCTGAGGTCTACCGGCATAATCTCTTGGCCATACCCAATTGGCCCAATCCAGTTTTCTAGCTATTAAGGGGGCCTCCACCAAAGTAGCTAACCTAGGGTATTAAAAATATAATTAGGTCTTGTTTTAGATTAGGTATATTGAAATAACTGCTTTATATAGAGATCATTTTCTATAGAAAGTAAAGACAAGCTACAACAATAGAAAATTACTTACCCAGAGTTTGAGAATTCCAGACTGACAACATTAAACACCCTATTTCTGTTTAAAGTATTGTAATATTCGACATAATCCCTGAGTTTCATTTTGATGTTGCTCTGCCTTGTTACATCGATAACATCAATTTCCTTTTCACTGCCAACATAAGCTTCGACATCATACAAACTAAAGTTATCGGGTGGCATTGTCATGTCTAAGCCATCTTTTCCATCAACAACAATGGGGCTGTTGAAACCTTGTGATTGCAAGACAGCTTCTGTCATTTGCTGACCTCGCATGTGTACAACCACTTCACCTTCACTTGCAAAATGCCTGGCACGTAATTCCCTGATAAATATTGCAGTGCCAGTCTGCACAGGTTTATTTGTGGCATCTTCATCCCAAAAATCATGCCTGTGCCAGTTTATGTACGGTTTGTCTACAACAAAAAATGTCACATACAAATTGGCAACATTGTAATTTTGGCTTACAAATTGAGGGGCCATATAGTGGAACACATCTAGGACAATGGTACCTATCTATTTCTATGGCCAGATGTTCTTGAAAGCTGCAGCAACTAAAATAAACACAAAAACATTACATTTACAATTAGGTTAATTTACGTTTGACAGCTTTTAAAATTTTTTGCAACGCGGCTAACCTGCTGTGAAACCAATCTTTGCATGCATCACATTGTATCATAAATATGTTTGGATCATAAGGCCGACCACATAAACAATATGAGGCGTCCATTGTAAAATAATGTTGTGATGTTAAATTGTTTTGACATATGACATTTCACACATACTACCAACATACTGAAACTGATAAACGAATCAATATTCCTGGAAATTTGTCATTATCTTGATTCATATGCAATTAGTATCGTTTTCGTTTTTTCTATATTTTTAATTACGATTATTTATTATATTTCTTCATTTACAAATTGGTGACATCTGTCAATTATTGGAAGAAACCTGTAACGTAGACAATTTTTTTGTTTGTTTATTATTGAGTTATGTTTAAAAATGTTTGACACAAAGCTAAATTACAACATGTTTAGGTAAAATTAAACATTTTTAATTTTTGTAAATAAATCGTTTAATTTAAACGTCACATACAGATGGCGCTCATCCGCTTGCCTATGAGTTGGTACAATTGTTTTTACCAAAAAAAAATAAAAAACTACGTTGTAATTGTCATCTTACCGGGTTGACCTAGGAACAAAATTCAAAGCCAAAAGTTTTTCGCCTTGAGTTTAATTTGAGAGGAAAATGAGTGCACTACGTGGATCAAAACTATTTTCGTCGAATCCAATTAGGCAAGTACCTTAATGACGTGTTAAAACAATTTAAAAATATATTTCCTTGATGACGTCGTTATGTAACTTATTGTTTTTTTTAGGAATTTTCGCCTAATGTCTCAATTGGGTGATTTGGGGAGCGGCGCCGGCAAGGGGGGCGGTGGCGGCGGGTCCATCCGCGAGGCTGGGGGGGCTTTTGGAAAAATTGAGGCCGGCAGAGAGGAGGAGTTCTTCTATAAACAGGTTAATTAAGAAAATCATTTAAAAATAAATATAGAAGCAATGATCACTCAAAGTATTGTAAACAAAGCACTTGCCAAAAATATCTAACTTGTTGTTTATGTGTTACAGCAAAAGGAACAGTTGGCAAAATTGAAGGCTGACTTGACCGAAGAGATCAGCTTCCATGAAGAGCAGATCAAGAGACATCAAGAGGCTATTGCTCGTCACAGGGAGAGAGTCACCAAATTAGATAAGAAAGAATAAATAGTATTTACTCTATAGAGGCTTTAATTTTACTTATTATTAACATAGTGTGTGCTTTTTGATTTAATAAAATATATCGCTTGAATAACTGATTTTTATTTATAAAAAAGATCAAGGGAACAAGGGTTTAAATCGCAAAATCATTTTTTTAAGTTGAAGGGATTTGAATTTGGCGGGGTTGGGTAGGGACATGCGCAAAGCGTTCATAACAGCAATCTTAGCGTAGCTGGCGAGCAATGAATTGATCAGTCTGAAAAGTGCTATTGAATGGTTGAAGGGACTTGCTGTGGTGAAAAGTGTCATATTTATATATTTTTAAGCAACTAAATAAGTTATTTCGTCTAGTAAAAACTGTTTATAGTGATGCATTTTAGGATATATACGCTATTACTGTGTGCGTTCCTTCTGGAATTTGCAGCTGCAGCACAGGTGAGGTATTTCTTGATCTTCTTTCAGTCAGGCTAACCTTAGCTTAGACTGTATTTACAATTTATATTTCGCTGAATGGAATTTATTTTATCTTTAATCATTTGTTTTCTACATTTTACTGCATTTTTTAAATATTTACTCTTATTTTTAAAATAATTTCCGACTTATTTTGATATTTATTATAGAACGGAATGGTGCTGTAGGGCCTTTTGTAGTACAGATGTTTACAAGAGTCGTATTTACGTAGAGGTTTATTTTTATTTATTTATTTGGGAGTGCGTTTACTTAATGACAAATCCCAACCAAATGAAGGTCTTGTCATTATTAAATATTATGTTACATTTCACAGTGTAAAAACGTCAAACGTATGGTCTCTTCTATGAAAGTTAAGTTTCAAAATGTTTTATTTCTATTGTCTGCATTGTACTTGTTAAGTGCAGACAATATGATTACGGTTTGTCAACAAGGATCATATAAAAGTTGTCCTCTTTTAGTACATTTTTGAAAAACAGGTAGAAAACGTCTCCAGTATAAATAGTTAATCCCTAAGTAAACTTTTTAAACCCACAAAATGCTTTTAAATGTGTTACTTCACTAGATGATATGTTAGCATATTCTGTATTAATAAGGTTTCATTCTACAACTAAAAGGGTTGTATTAAAGTACTGACTCCAACAATAGGTCCAAAAATAATAAAGGACATAATATCACTTTTATTGTTAAAAGCAATACAAATTGCACTGTATAGGTAACTTAATATTGTAGATATAGGCTCAGCAGGGTATTATATTAATAATTATTATAAAAAGGTGTATTTTTTATATACGGATGTGTAAAATAAATAACGTTGTTCCTGTGATGTTGCCGGTATTTAAAATTTAATTGGTCAAAAGTGATGTGCTGACTCATTTATTGAATTACTAACATAATCAAAAGTCCCTGCAAATAGGTAGCCCATTAATGAATTATTAGGTATTGGTTTTGAATTTCAGAGCCTTTTACTTTACCAGACTTTCAATTTGCAGTAAGAATATGCAAATATGAATTCTCGATTTAATTAAATAAATGAAATGCATATGTCTACGTTAATTTTGCATTTTAAATATTTCAATTATGCACTTTTTAATGCTGATTGTAAATATATTTGTATATATAGGTATACTTATATATATAAATCATAAATCAATTTAAATATGTAGATTTTGGAAAATTTTAAAATGTTGAAATATTAATTCGCCACTAAACAGCTTATGTGCAGTTTTTGTGCATTTATTAAATAGATTGTATTCATTTTTTACGAGATTAAATTTAACCCCGCCCGATAAATAATACTGTTTCGCTTAAATGTTTGCGAAATGCAATTAATAAGGCTTAAGTTACTTAATTTAATTAATTAATCTTTCCGAATATTTTACCATTGACAATTGAAAAACAAATCAGCAATTTTAATTGCTTTTGCTCTATAATTGACTTGAATCACCCTAAATGCCACTGGATAATTGGAACTAAGAAAGCCGCAAAGCAAATATGTTTACCTCACCCTGTATAGAAGCGTACGGCAATGTACCGTTATATGTGTTTGTGGTGTAGGCCTTGTTGCCTAATTGACTCAAAAGACGTATCGTTTCACCCACATCTATAGTTAGTTTTTTCCTATTCGTATTCTTGTTTCTTCTTTATTGCCATATAGGTAGTTTAATTTTAACTTTAATATTCGGCAACATCTTGCGACCCAATTTTAAGGCGCTGGCTGCGCTGCTTAAATAATAAAATTAATATGTATGCATATAAATATATATTCCTTGAATAATACATTTAAATGTTATCTCAGCTTGCATGTAAAGATACAATGCACCCAGGTTTAATATATAAATAAGATTTACATTTTTATGTGTAAATAAAACGTGATGCATTAATTATATTGCGCTTTAATCATTTTACAACTTAGTATGAGTTGTTTTATACTGCGCAGCTAGTTTCGTTAAATGCGCAGCCAAATCAAGTAGTTTTGTGCTGCGCATTGGGCCAAACTATCTGAGCAGTATAAAAGATCCCTAATTCGTGTAAAATGTAATGAAAATGTGGAGACTGATGAAAACCTTGTTTATCAAATAAAAAAAGTAAGGCGATGAAATGAGTTTAATTTAAAAGGTGTTAATTTAAAAATCTGTCGGTCAAAGTAGACCTTTTGATTTAGACAGGAAATTTCGTTTGTGGAGTACGAGGGTAAAGGGGGAAAATCGATCGGCCACCCTTGCCGGTAACTAAAAACCTTCAACGGCTCCTGACTTGTATTAAAATATACATCGAGCAAAATCGAATTTTGCGCGTGCCATCTGCAATTTCATTTGCATCGAATTTAACTCGTGGAAAAAGGAAGTAATCCCGAGGATTTCTTATTAACTTCATCTGCACACGCAAATTAATTAATTTCTGTTAATGAGAAAATCCTCTTGGGAGATGTCGCCAAATTAAAAATACACAAAAACTTTTATATAAGAAAAAAAATTAATTAAAAATTGTGAGTTTTCTTGGTATTTTATGGAGTCGTAATAACCCATCTCCTGGTACGACTTTATAAATACCATTAAACATTCTATATTGTTCGGATACGAAATTCCTCGTGTTATCTTGGAGGAATTTCTTTTAAGGCTAAATCAAACAGAACATTTACTAAACCGTTTCTTTAATATCAGCGATTAAAGTTTTAATGATTCTCAATATCGAGTAAATAAATACGTACAGAAGACCTATAAAAGTGAAAGATTTATGCAATGGCATTTGAGGAAGCTTAGTTAAAAAAAGAAGCAATACTTTTCGTTGAATGATTATCAATTACTAATAACTAATGTTATAGAGGTTTAGATCATATTCTAAAAATAAGTGGACTTTGCAAAAACTGCCGCTGGTAATCTGAGAGATGTTTTAGCGAGTCAAAAGATCATAAAAAATATGCATACACAGTACATAAATTTTATTGAAGTACGTCAGATGTTTGTGTTAAAATTTAATCAGGCAATTTCGGATTTACACAAAGTTTTTGATAATGTTTCGAAAAACAAAGTATTTTGAAACGTAATTAAATTTCCTTCTGGATATCGCATTGCCAAACAAATGTAATATTGTTTATTTTGGGAACAAAGGAACGAGCCGGCCTAACGTCTTTTTCCTTGCAAATTTAAGTTGTAAATCCGTCCTTTTTTCAAATTCAATTTGGAAAATATGTCAAGTGTTATTTGTAGTATGCGCAGAAATTCCATGTCATAGTTGAGTTGACTTTTAAATATAATCTCAATAAATTTAGAAAAATATTAGATTAATTATGGTTTTCGGTCTTCCACAAGCTATAGGTGTTATTTGTATCTATTAATCAAGAAATGTGATAATTTTCACCTCCATTCAAAAAGAACGCCGCTCAGTACAGAGGGGCCGGTGCGTTTTTGTTGAAACCTTCTCGGAACAGTTTGTGTGTCGAAAAAGGAAAAAAATAAGCATGGTTGAAGTCTCTAGAGAGCGACAGAGAGGCAACACAAGCAAAGGAATCTTCTACCTGGTATTTTCACTCCATTTTGATTATCCACCTTCGTACCTGACTGACTAAGAAATGCGTAGGTACCTACAATAAACTAAAGGCCCAATCATCTTTTATTAGGACACAGGAACTTAAGTTAATTAACTTAAATTAACTTAACTTAAATTAATTAAGTTAATTAACTTCAAAACAACAAAATTATATTATATTATGAACATAATATTTTTCGCAAATCTGTCCCTTGGGAGAGAAATATTAATCAATTTAATACTGTTTTTACTCATATTTCATATTTGATTGTATGTATCGTATACCACAAGCATCCAATGTATTGACCCACTGACCAAAACATTTACATAATCTTAATAATTCCATGCTGGTCCGTTTGGTATGCGTTAAAACATTTGAAATTTTTCTCAATAAACCATTACTTCTCGTTAATAAGATAATGCTTATTTATTCAAACTTTGAACTGCAATGCCAGCTCGAGCAAATTCTAAATCTGAAATTATGATTAACAAATTAACAACAACAATTATGAATGAATTGAATGTATATAATATTGTTCATTACAGATCACTTATGTTAGAAAGCATTACGTTGAAAACTATTAGAGAAACTCTTAAATTAAAAAAACAAGGTCACTTTGGAAGAGTTAACAACAACAAATACCAATAAAAATTTCCATCATCTCCATGGGCGTTTGTAACGCTTATTGTTGGTTATACCCCATGTAGGTAACTTGTACCTGTGGCTCAAATTGTTTGTGAAAATGATTGTTTAAAAAAACATTTAGATTTTTTATGAAAAAATGAGTATGATCTTTTAGGAAATTGAAAACTGCGCACAAAATTAAACTTTCGGGTAACTAAAAACTGCCCATATTCGAACAAAATTGGATAATTGAAAGCTGCCCTTTTGCCTATATAAAAAAACATTTAAAAAATAGTAGGACAATTTCCAATTTTTTTTAGTTTTTTATCAAACCTTCATCAATCGTATTTAATATCCTACTGGTAAAAATAAATTAGGTGATTTTGACTTGTAGTGTGAGAAATGTTAAAAATATTTAAAAAGTAGTCGTACTTGATATCCAAAAGATCATCCACATTTTTTTTTCATTTATTCATTTTTTATGTTTTTATTTGGAATGACTCTTATATGACATAACTAATAATTATTAATAACTTATATTATATAATGTCGAAAAGTCTGTCATAAAATAAATAGAAATTTGCAGGTTTTGCCAAAAATAAATTTTTATTTTGCGAAATAATGATGAATATCAATGCATTGCAATTGTAATAGTTTTTAGTTCGAAATTGATTTTGGCAGATGTTAATTGGGTTTTTGTTTCCAACGGCAGGCCTTTGATTTTCATTGGATGGGACTAAAAAGCTAATTATTATCCGCTGTAGTTTTTTTATTTAAAACAATGATGCAGTGCAAGAATAAATTTTTATATTCT